AGAGAGAGAGAGAGAGAGAGAGAGAGAGAGAGAGAGAGAGACTATTGTATACTTCATTTGTAAGTTTGAGGGTATGCAAGCCAAGGTGCCCCAGTAGCTCCCCAGGAGCTGAGCATTCAGGTTTAATTGCAGTGTTGGCATTTCAATTAAATAAGTAGGTTTTGTGTTGTAGTTTGGGCATTCAGTCTCCAAAAGTTTCATCTTTACTGGTCTAAATTATTGGCAAGAGGATTACACCAACTGCAAGGCACTGATCTATCTGAGCTGACGTCCTAACCTGTCAAAAGTGTTTAAGAGATGCTCACAGGATTTGTGAAGCAAATGAGAGGTGGGAGCAAGTCTGCAGTGCTAATGTATGTCCCTGTTACAAGCTGCTGGTCCTGGGAGAGCGGAGGAAGGAGTTCTGACACTGAGGCAGCACAGACATGGATGGCTGGGAGTAATGGGAAGGAGACGCAGAGGGATGGAGAGAGGGCATGGCAGACCTGCTCTTTCTTTGGGGTGTAACCAATGGTAAACTCCAAGGTTAAAACCAAGTTGTATCCCTCTTTCCAACCTGTCTTACATCATCCTACATATCAACTTCTCAGTGGGACTTTCCAGGAAAAGTTGAAATTAAATAGTTGGGGCAAGAAAGAGCCATTAAAGATAAGAAAGTGGAAAAGTGGGGCAAGCAAGGAGACTTAAGGCTTCTGCTGGTGGAATGGAGGGACTATGCAATGAAAGGGGAACCTGAAACCTGGGAGTAGAGAGGGGGCTTTCTTTAGTTGGTTCCAAGGTCTGAGATGCTAAAAAGCAAGGAATGATGTCCACTGAAAGAAAGCCCAGGGAGACAAATCTGTATGGAGGAAATGGTTCCTGCTTCCAAGGGCACATGTGGCGTACGTGTATTCATATGCTTGTGTGTAAGGCTAGCTGTTGTTCTCCCACCTTGTCCCCACTCCCGGCCCTACAAACCCATACAAGGGATGAAGGATGAGTGTGGAAATGGGAATATAGATGCTGAATGTTCATTTGGAGTCCCAGGGAAAATACTAGAGTTTGGGGTAAAAAATAGATCCAGAAAACAATAGCTGCTCCGATTTCTGCTGATGGGAGTAATGAGTGAAAGGGTCCTAATCCTTAGTTTTATGGGACAGAAGGACTAGAAATGTGGTGAGGGGCATGGCTAAGTGTTGAGGCATGAGCGATACTTGACTAAGTGCTCAGAACATATAAAGTATGTTTGAGGAAGGAGAGGAAAATGAGTAAGACAGCAATGTACATCTGAGAAGCTAGAACAGGACTCATGGGTTGGAGAACTGAAGCGGTTAGAAATGAAAGTTTAGAAGCCTCACTGCAAGATACAAGGAGTAGGATGGCTACTTCTTGGAGTTGGTCTTGGTTCTGGCAGTCTGAGGTCAGTGGCCATGAGAGATGGAGGTCACTAGAGTGCCCAGGGCCCACGTGTGTACTTGGGGAGGGTGGCTGGGAGGGTGCTCTGATGGAGCAGGTGAAAAGCCAAGGGGGCCAGGCCTAGTTCTCCCAGGAAGCTAATATGGAGGTTAAAGGTCACAGGGAAGGGACAGGGAACATGGGAGAATGTTACAGCAAAAAGTTTGGGAGAATTAGGGAGGTGGGCTGGACCCAGTAGTCCTAGGGGATTCTGTGGAGATGTAACATGGCTCTAGTTCTTAAGAAGTAAAAACTGGGGATGGCAGAGTGAGACAGAATAGCCAGGCGCTGACAGCTGTGGGAAGACCCTCACACCGCGGGTAGGTGTGAGGGTGGCTATGTGTGTGTATGGGGGGGGGTAGCTCCCCAGAGCTATAGTTGGGGATAGCAGTAGAAAGTGGACTGCACTGGGCCCTTCAGTAAAGGCCCTGGGATGTGTGGTGTCTTGGGTGAAGGCTGGACCCTGATCTGGGGCTGAGTCCATCAAAGCTCATCCCTATACCCGTGGCTTGGGCCGACCGTCTGGTGGTGGCTCGGGTTCTTGGGAGTATAGGACTGCGCCGAGCAGCCTTCCAAACCCACTCCGGGGCCCTGTGGTCAGGAGCTTCGAGGGGATCAGCCCCGGGGCCTGCGGGGCTGCGCTGACCCAGCTTTCGGTCCTCGCGTGAGCCAGCAGTCGGGAAGGCTCCGGGCAGGCTGAGGTCCTGACCCACCCAGTCCCCGCGGTTTACTAGCAGGAGCTCCAAGGTACGGAATAGAGGCAGCGGGGCGGGGAGACTGTCTTGTGCCGCGTAAGTTCCCGCAGAAGGCAGCCCCCCACCCTCCGGCCGGCCCCGTGACGTACCTGGTCGCCGGCGCCCAGGCCGTAATAGCCGTGCGTCACCACCTCCCAGTGCAGGAAGCAGACGAGCGCGTCCTGCGCGCAGCTGATGGCCGGCGCCGCCGAGGCGAAGAGCACCTCCAAGCCCGCCATGAGCGCCGCGGCTTCTGTGGGCGGAAGTAAGGGCGACAGGGACGTGAGCCGGCTCCGCCCCGAAGGAGTTCCTACCGCCTGAGCGGTACTCTGCGGTAAGGCCGGGTCTCCACCTGCAGCCAAAATGGAGCAGTCCCGGGGGTGTGGCGTGGCCGCCGGAAGTAGCTCCAAGCCCGGGCGCAGTTTTGCTTTGCACACCGGGCTGGAAACGCGAGCGAGACCTGAAAGGTTCCGCTAGGGCGGGCATTCGCCTCTGGCCCACAGTCTGCAGGACAAGTTCGCTTTCAGATCCAGACTCACACAGTCGGTATTAATGGTGGCATCATTTCACAGATAAGCAAACCGAGGCACAAAGGGCTGTTTTGACCAAGATGATACAGATAGCCAGGGAATGGCAGAGATGATACCAGAACCTAGCCATGTATCTCCTAAGTAACGTTTATTATGTTTTTTGTGTGGTGGCACAAAGCTGTACCCACACCCTTACACCTTCCCCTCAGATCTTCAAGGGTAGATCTGTTACACCCATTTTGGAAGTAACAAAACGAAAGTAGTGAGTCGAAGACACAAGAAGACTAAGCTCCTGACCAAATTTTAGGCATTTGTTTGCTTAGCTCCTTCACAATTCCTTTTTTTTTTTTTTTTTTTTTTTTTCTGTATTTTAGGGAAGGGTCTACAGGATGTTCAGGGTCTCACTACTAGATCGGACTCAGTGATTCGCCTGTTTACAGCCTCCCAAGTGCTGGGATTACAGGCGCGTGCTACCACCCAGCCTCAATCTCTGTCTCAGCGCGCTGCGGGGGCAGGACCAGCAAGGCTGGGTTGGGGGGGGGGGAATCAAACTCCAGACCCCTGCACCTGCTTACAGGCACTTTAATCCACTGAGTTATATGGCGGACCCTTCTTCACAATTCTTAATACTTACTATTATTTTTAAATGTTCCTTAAAGTGCAATTACTGCTTTTACTTAAATAAATTTAGTTTCCTTAGCCTGGACAGAACCATGGCCCACACCACTGTCTTTTCTCACTTGGGTGCCGGGCAGCTGTCTGTGAAGTCCATCCTGACTTGCCTGCATCTCTTCTGCACCCAGCAACCAGAAAGAACCTGTGGACACACGAGTGAGCTCTTGTGCCTCTGCTGAAAACCTTGCCATTCCCAGCACACCATCATGATCTGCAGGAAAGTGTGTAGGGCGTGTCTGCCTCTGACCCCAGTAATTATCATTTATAACTATCTTCTCATCCCCTGTACTCTTGACTGAAATGATCTTAGCTCCCAGCTGCCTCTCTACGCACATCTGATCTGCCCACAAAGCTAGATGGCAGGCCAGCCAAATAGCTCAGCAGATTAAAGCACCTGCAAACAGGTGCAGGGGCCGGGGGTTTCATCCCCAGGCCTGCCGTGCAGGCCCCACCCTCGGGGCCTGCTGAGACTGCAGTTGAGACTGGGCACTGGACGTGGTGACGTGTGCCTGCAATCCCAGCTCTTGGGAGGCTGTAAACAGGCAGATCACTACGAGTCCGATCTAGTAGTGAGACCCTGAACACCCTGTGGACCTTTCCCTAAAAAAAAAAAAAAAAAAAAAAAAAAAAGCTAGATGGCTCTACCCATAAAATATATTTCTGAATTTGACCACTGCCTACCCCTTGTCTGATCCACCAGCATCTCATGCTTGGACTTCTGAAGTAGCTTATTTCTAGTCTCCCTCCTTCACATGTTATACTCGTCAGACCTTTGTACATGCAATTGTCTCTCAGTATTTTATGGGAGATTGAGTCCATAGTTGCTTTAGATTCCCAGATCTACAGATGTTCAAGTTCCTTGTACAAAATGATGTAGTGTTTCCATATAACCTGTACATCCTGTACCTGTATGTTAAATCATCTCTAGATTATGCTATTTAATGTAGTGTAAATGCTACCCAAATAGTTGTAATACTGTAGCTGTAGGGATGGGCCACAGATAGGGAAAAGATAAGAAAAAGCCCCCATTGACCTTTATGAAGATTAACAGAGAACCTTACTAAAAGTATAAAAGTAGTTTGGGTCTTCAAAAGTAGACTGTCCAGTTAGAGCAATTAAAAAGACAAAGGGAGAGAAAAGCTAGACTGGAGAGGGCACCAAGTAGCATAATTAATGTAAAAATTTAGCAGTTAGGCACTGGGGAAGCCAGGAACAAAGGGACTTAGAGGGCCAGCTCCTCTTACTCGCTGAAGGAAGGCAAAGGGGATGAGAGACAGACCCCTAAGGACTCTTTAATATGTAAGACACACATGCACACACATATTTACACATGTACATATGTATGTTTTTACTTTAACATCAGTATAGTGTTGGACCAGATATACACATGTCCCTTTGACTTTTATCATTAAGTTGTCTCCCTGTAAGCCTTCTCCCCTTTATTTATAACAAAGGGACAGGAAGAAACCAAATGGCCAGAAGGTTAGGATCAAGGCCAGTCAAGAGAACAAGAACAGTTTTTTTGACAGGTATCTACCTAGCACTAGTCTCTAGTAGAAGCAGCCAGGGATAAGAGCTCCTGGGCTTTCAGCTCTGAAAGCCCCCACCACTTCTTAGTAGCTATCTATCCTCTTTCATTTCCATCTTTTTCTAAATAAAATCTCTTTTCTTATATTAAACTTTGCCTTCTTTTAGTTCTTTATTGGTGTTGTAGCTCAAAAATCAGATGACAATGAGGCAAGTCCAAAAGTTAAGGAAGCGCTTTATTTTAGCTGGTACCCAGCGGCAGACACCCCGGCAAGATGCTGAGGTGCGTGCCCAGGAGGGGAAAGACAAGGGTTTTTAAGGCTGAAAACCACAAAGGAAGGGGGGGGGGCAAGCAGCATACAGAAGCAAATTGCATTGGTTAGTGTAGGTTGACCTTTAAAATAATTGGTGGATTACAATACTGGATGACCAGGTGGAGTAAGTCTGGGGGGACTGGGGGGACTAACCTTGTGGTTGTCATATTCCGGGAACGTTTTAAGAAATCGGGGCACTGTGACCTGGGACATTTTGCTGTTATGGCTTTAACTGGCCATGGGTTTGGAAATGTATGTCTTTTGAAAGAATTTAAACAAGGGGAGGGCCAAGGGCAGCTTCTTGGCTGACTCAGTGGTTTTATAGCTTGTCCTTGAGGCTTTACTGGACTTGCTCGGGGGGAGTTTTTCCCATAACAGTCATAACAGTTTGGGGGTGGAAGAAATTTTTAGAAAATGCTTACAAGGGCAGGGGTAACAAAGGACAAAAGTATACAAAATGGCACATACAGAACAAGATGGTGGCGCATATGTCAGGTTATAACAGTTAATAAAGTTTTAGTGGAAGCATACAGAGGTACAAAATTGGAATCAATTGCACAGGCTATAACAATTGGCACTGAGTTTAGGATTGGTGGGAGTTGTGTTTTCAGCAGAGCAATGGCATGGTGTGGCTTGGCATTGATATAGGAGAATGAAACTTCCATCCTGAAAGATACTTGGGCCTGAGTTTGTGTTCTCTAAAACTGAAGAATGAGTTTCAGCAACAACAGAAAAAGCTTCCATTGAGAGAGGGACAGAAGGGGAGCAAAATGGGTTGTCCATTTATAGAGCAAAACCATGAGGTAAATTGGTTCTGAGGTGGAAAACATGGGAACTTGCACATGAGGTGGGACAAAACTATGGCCAACCAATAAGACTACAAGCACAGGGTCGGGGAGATGGCTCAGAGGAATAAGTGTAACCTCACACTGGGAAGTAGTACAATTACTCAGGTAGAATTGATTAAATCAGGATCAGATAGGGAAGTAAGTCAAGTAGCAAGGAGGGGCTTGAACACAGAACAGGGACTTTTTCTGTAGGGATTGGGTCAATGACTCTGGCTTCTTCAAGATGACTAATACCTACTCAAATATCAATCCCTGATGCCCATCCCTAGGGAAATATGTGGCTGCATTTGTTTACTCAGTTGTCTTCAGGTCTGGCTCACAGTGGGAGTGTCTGTCTCTTCCACAGTTGCAAGGTCATCTTGCCTTCCATATTGTCTCCTTGAAGGCCTAGCCCTGTCAGCCTGCCTATAATATTTCTATTAATTTAGCTGCCCATAAACATGACATAGTATGGCAAACTGTTTACTAAGAGATGTAACATATCCTTTAGGGACTAGTGACAGGAAAACAGTCTATTTTTCCCTGAATTTTTTCAGTCTACTGTTACCTGAGTCCATACATATGGAACCTGTGGATGCAGAGGGCAACTGCACTGCTTTCTTTGCCTGGATTACTATTTTCCATCTACATGATTGGCTCCTTTATTTTAAGTAATTCCTTTCTTCAGCTACCCATTTCAGAAGAGGGCTTCGTTTACTTACCCATTCAAAGTAATCACTCTTCATCCTTCTATTAGGCTTTCTTTTCTATGAATGATAAAGTGTAACTTCATCACTCTTCATCCTTCTATTAGGCTTTCTTTTCTATAAATGATAAAGTGTAACTTCACACTATATCATTTATTTGTTTGCTCATTTATTTAATGACTGTGACTAGGGAGTAAGAACTATGTCTGTCTCATATGTAACTATACTTGAATGCCATCTGGCTTAATTACACAATTATTGAAAAAAAGAATGAAAGAAAACTGAATGAGCAGATGAATTCATGGTCTTCCCCCAACTCAATTTGGCCCGTTTTTACCCTTTACCACCAACAACTTTGCCAGTTGGCCTTTTGCCTCTCAAAACTTTATATTCCTAAGATTTTCCTGCACTGTCCAGATCCCCAAATCCCATTTGCAAACACTAGTTGAGAGTCAGACTTTTGGGATATTGACCACAATCCAGATGAAGCTAAAGAAGGTGGCTACAGAGCTCCTCTTAATGGTGTAAAGCTGTTTTGTGTCCACCAAGAAACCCTCCACATTCAGTCTTCCCTGACATTGCTTACTTAGCCCCCTTTGATTCTCATATCCTTCCCTTGTTGGGGACCACAAATTCACAATGGCTAATTTTGCATACTTTCCTAAGGGATGAACAGTTGGTACCACTCTTTTGAGATTTCCCATCATCTCTTTAGGAATGAGCCATCCTTTCTAACACACTAATACTAAAACTGAAACACTAAGATTAAAAGACACTCCAGGGCAAGGTCATTCTTAGCATAAGA